GTTAGTTTGGGGTAGGATGTGAGCTCGATGCCGTAAGGAATCGAGGTGATATTGAAGCCATATAGAGGGTGGGTAATTTATTAGTTAATGGTAAAAAAATTTTTATGTGTATAAAGCAGAAATGAAATAAATCGAAAATTTCATTTTTTAAAAAAATCGGGCGATACTTTTTGGGGAACCCGAACTTTTCGTATTTTGTTGATCATCACACGTTACAAAATTCAAATTATAAGTAAAATTAACTAATTAAAAACTAGTCTGTTTCAACATTAATTGACAATTAGATGAATATATATATTTTAGTTTAGTAAGTAAAACTAATAAACCTGTACTTAGATTTGCATTTATTAGAAACTAACATGGAAAATATTAATAAATTGCCCGTTTCTCAGAGCCTGTATACGAAGTGGATGTCGGTCACTGGTTTAGAAAAACGAGTCTGTTTTTTTTAATATGTAAAACTTGTAGTTTCTTGAGAATTTATTTAAATATACTTGTTTCCTTTTTAAAAGCCCAAAAAATAATCGTGCAAATTTTATGGCTGTATATTGATGATGTGATTACTCTATGTAAAATGTCACTATCTTAAAACATTATAGTAAATTGGTTAAAATATTCACAGGTTTATCCTAAACATAGAGGCCAAGCCAAAGAGTTCTTTCTTTCCTGTAAGTTTGCTTGATCGATAATTTTATCGTTGAGAGGCAGGAAAAATAATGATGTCGCTAAACAAATAAATTTTCTTTATTATGTACACATCTCTACAATATATTGCCGAAAATGAATTTGCCACTTTGGATCCCGATACCTCGACATCCGGTTATCTCATTCGAATAAAGATATCACCATTAGATTCGTCTCGACTATACACATCTAATGGTAATATCTTTGTACAAATAGACGAGATATCGGGATCCAAGTGGCAAATTCATTTTTGAAATTTCCGGTAATATATTGTAGGGGTGTGCAGTTTAAAGCAGTTTCAATACTAATTTTAATTACTCATAATTAGGACCGTGACATATATTACGTAATATTTTACTATAGAGCCCACCAGGTAAGATATTTGAAGCATGTGACTTTATATATTACATAAGACCTCCCCCCAAGGATATTACGTAATATCTGTCCAGCCCTTAGTCTATTTTGATTGTAATAATTCAGTTTCAATTTAGATCACAAAATTATTGTTTTTTATATTATTGTGAGTAATACTGGAGTTAATGCAATTTGTTTACTATTGTATATTAAATTATGCACTTATTGTTATTGTCCGCCGTTTGTTACTTGCTGCCTGTCGTTTATTTTTTGTTCACCATCTGTTGCTAGCTGTTGTTATTGTCATTAATTAACTAATTAATTTCATTTCATTTAGCACGAAGACAAAATGCTGATAAACTCGCCGAAATGGGTTTAAGTGAGTAACAATAATAATAGTGACAATTGTATTATAGTAAATAAGTCTTATAAATATTGGCGTTTTTACACATTAACAATATTGTTGATAAAAAAAACTATTATAGCGCATTATCCTAAAAAAGAGAAGTTGCCAACAAAAAGAACGAGAAAAGTAAAAAAAAAATGGTAAGAGTGGTGGTGCTTTTACTGCTACCGAATTAATTTTTTATTCAATCTTTATTTACGATTTCTTTACGGGACGGGTCAAAAGACTTCTAATTAATCTAATATTTGCGACAAAAACAAATAATTCTCGCTCGTATAAAACTTTATTCAAAAAACTAAATTTTATGAGTCTAGCAGATGTTCATTGTGTAATAAAGATATCGAAAATATAATGGACTACGTACAAATAAATAGGTGAAAATTGAATAAATAGTATTTGGTGTGACATCCTAATATAGGCATCAGTACTAACAAAACATTCTTGTAGTGAGCATTATTTTCTATTAATAACATCAATATTAGTAACTACGTATAAACTATAGTATAATTAGATGTAAAGCACATAAACAAACCACAGACATAATTTAAATTCATAAAACTTTGATTCTCTTTTCCGATCCGATTTTATTTTTATTATTACTATTGATATCCTTTTTATAAAAAATTCAAGCAGTGAATTGTTTATTCTCATTGGAATCTAAGGATCAAAAAGTAAGAAAAAAATAATTATTTTATCGCAGTGTATTTAATTTGTCGTCCAATCAAATATCGATATAAAAAATGTATTAAAACTTATACAAACATTCAAAATGAAATATTTCAGATACAAGTGCTTACCAAACAAATCATCACCGTGGCTAAATCTTCTTAGATCTGAATTGACTTCTTCGACCGAAGACATATTCATATCAACTGAAGATGCATCTGTTCCATCTTCATCAATATTTTCAACTATCCATTTTGAACCAAGACGTCGTATTTCTCTGATTTCTTCAAGAAGTTGATTAACATTAGGTCTTTGAGCTGGATTTGCATGCCAACATTTTTTCATCAAATCCTTCCAACATCTTGGCATTCCGTAGGAAAATTTAGGTCTTAAGCCATCTATAATAGCTAACGCTAACTGAGCAGCAGAAGGATAATCACCAAATGGAGGTTTACCCCCAGAAGCAATATCAGCCATAATAATTCCAATTGAGTAAATATTTGATGTTTGTGTATGTGGTTGACCATTTAATATTTCGGGTGCCATATAAGACATCACACCATATAATTCTTTTGATAAACCAGTTTCTTCAACAGATCGCAAATATGAAAGACCAGCTATCTCAATTTCATAATCTAGTTTCCCTTTAAGCACATTTCCAATGTGAAGGTTACAGTGAATATAGTTTTTTGTGTGTATAGACTGCAGATTTTCAACTATGCTTTCCAATAGCGCCACTCGCTGATACCAAGTTAAATTATGATGTTCATTTTGTAAATGTTGTCGAAGGTTATCTTTTTTTGCATCACCGTTATTTTCGTTTATTTTACCAAGAGGTTGCATATCTAGATGAAATTCAAGTTCAGTTTGTGATAAATTAAGTTATAAATGAATCTATACTATATAAAAGCATAACAACAAAAAGGTTACCAATGTCAATTCGAATTGATTCCAATCTACTGCAAACCATCTGGATTAAAGGCCGATCTGTCGGCTCAGGTTGCCAACAATCCTTATATAATAGCATGTATTCAAGAGGCGTATTGATAATTGGATCTTCACGTAGTCCATCACTAATTTTACCCGTAAGGGATTGATAATTACTGATATAGTCTTTAAAAGGGATACAGCAGCTTGATATTTCCCAGAATAAAACGCCTAAACCGTAAATATCTGATCTTTTGTCTTTCTTATATCTGTGGTCTATCAGAGTTTTAGGTTCAATATACGGTATCGCGCCAAAAAATCCCGAAGTGCTGGTGGATAGGCTATTAATGTTCTTAGAAAGGCCAAAATCCGAAATTTTTATATGACCATTATGTAATAAAATATTTTTAGAATGCTTTTTATATAAAAATAGAAAATGATAAAATTTAATGGATTGTTTGTTACTAAATAAATTCACATGAGCATAACAAATATTACCAAATCTCGATGAATTATATCGCGCGAATGAAGGTGATGAATGCCATCAGCCATTTGCTTTGCTATTGATATCTTTGTAGCCCAGTCTAAAGTATCGCGTTTCTCTTTTAAAAATTCAGATAACGTTCCGTTATTTGCGAATTGCATTACTAGAAAATAGGAGTTTCTGTCTTGAAACAGAAAATTAAATTAATAATTTTCATCAAATAATTTACTCTATAATGAATTATTTCACATACTCTCAGTAATTCCGTATAATGGAATGATACTCTCATGTTGTTCCAAATTACTATGTATTTTTAACTTTAAATACAAAAGTACGTAAGTGAATACTAGATTTAACTCGTTAAAAAATTCAATACTGCGTTAATAATTACCTCTTTTATAAATGCAAATAAAATATCTTTTTCTTTTTCTTTAATATGGCATTTTCTGATCTTTTTGAGTACAATTTTTTCGGTCATTGAATTGCATTCAGCTAAATAAACTTTTCCGAATCCTCCTTCACCAATAAGTTTTCCCTTAGAAATTGTTTCGTGTGGTATTCTACGAATTTTACCATCAGAAATTGCATCATCAAACCATTTTTCTAAAGACGTCATCTCAAAACTGTAGAAAGTATGTATGTACGTATATCACAGGGATTTTACATCGACATTTGATTCATGCGTACTATGTATATGTACTACATCTATCTACGTAGTGCAAGTACGTAAATAGGATGCGGCGGCGCATAACTAATTCAGTCGAACTGATCTTTTCTCCGATCCCGACTACCAATCAAATCGCAAGATATAAAGTATTAATTAAAGGTTAGAACCAGTGTTAGGAATGGAAAAAAGATAAATTTTGCAAGGAATATTTTTTGTCAGATACAAGCTGTTTTTCAAAATTTTACACTTTGGTCAAGGGATCGGAAGTATCTAAATAAGGAAATTCTAATAAAGAAATACGCATGACCATCAACTACGTATCACTGCTTGGTGATCTACGTACTGTTTGTTCGTTCATTATATGGGTCGACACATATTTTTGGACGTTCTCTTTACGCCTTTTTAATCTTTAATTTATAAAGAATATTCTATAAAAGAGTATTTTTAACGAATCGGTAAGAAGTTATATTTTTATTGAGAGCCCCTTGAACATGAAATTATTTCGTGCAGAAACCGAAAAAACGACTTGCTGTTCGCAAGTCTATAGATGGGGTATGAAACCTGATTTACATATATTTCTTGACCTGACGCAGAATATACCCTCCACTATTCGAGAGTGGCGCCAATACTGGATTTGTCCTAACTTTACAAAGTAAAGACACTGCTCACGTAGTAGATGCGACCGCCTCATCACTCAAACGCACTAGTGAACCAACTCCTGTCGATAAATCATCTTATAAAAGTTAAAAAGGCTAGTGAAAAGAAGGACAAGGATTCATCCATGTTAAAAGAAAACCTTATCAAGTAGTCAGAATCACCAAGTTCTTCATCAAGTACGATCACTTTACAAACCAAAAACTATCACGAACTCTGGTAATTTTACCGATTTGTACAATGCAATTATTAAGGCTGAAGAACGAATTGAAGTACCCTAACCATGGCGAAAAAAAAGTTACGGGTCATGTGATTCCGATCTATCCGAACTAATAAGATTTTTCCAAACCAAAATTCCGATCCGAATTCCGATCCGAACCCCAAATCATATTATTGTATTTTAATAAATAACAAACTTAACAAATATGATTAAAATTGTTACTTTTGCTTTTAATTTTTTGATTTGACTTGATTTGTTTGATGAAAAAATATATTGTTCTTGATTTGTTTGATTTGATTGATGAAAAATACATTGTTCTATGCTTTTTTATTAATACAGATATATTCACAATAAATTCTAACTGTATCTATTGTATGTAAAATAAAAATTAGTCCTTCCTAAGTTAGATGTATACAATAATGTAAAATAAAAAATTTTAGTTTATTAATATAATGTCTTCGAAGTGCCATATCATAAATCACGTGCTTATCTTCTTTTGATGCGTCACTGATTTCCAGACACGTTTTTTCAGACATGATCTTGTATAATTTTCCTCTGTTAATATATATTCAAGTCTGTTCTACACTTAATATTTGCATATAAAAAAAATGAGTGAAAACAAATCTCAAAGTGAAAAAAGATACAGTAGCTGTCATACATTAAAGAAAATTATTGACTTTTGCCATCCTTTTGCTAATATCCCAGAATAAGAACATGCTACTTGCAACTAATGCTCTGCAAGATTGAAAAACAAATGCCAGGAAAAAAATATTCATACATCATCAAAGAAAAAAGCAAAATTAGAAATAAGCAACAATATAAATTGAGACAACATTATCTTACCTCGCAACAATAACATCTTCAATAACATTGAACAGCTTTATGTAGTGGTAATACTGAAGATATCCTGAATATAACACTAAACAAAAGTACTGATGGCAACCAGCAGAGTGATAACTCTAAGATGCTCTTATACAATTTAAATGAAGTATATGAAATTGTTAGCGAGTGTTTTAAAGCAGAAACATCCAACGAACCTATAAAATTTGCTTTTGAGATTGAGTTGGATCAAGATCTTCTTGCTGCAGTTTTTCTGGATCAATAAAACTTGGTGTCAAACACACTTGATTTAAAAATAATTGAAGAGAGATTTTACCAACTTGCCAATATACTCATTATATTGCTCGAATCAGATTTTGATTATTATTGGGAGATACACAAAATATACCTTAATAGCAAAAAGAAAATGTTCTCAGATTCTGTTACAGTGTATCTTAATTGCACAATGCAGAATAATTAGGCCTAGAGAAGACCAAACAATCAATCACTGAGAAGATGAAGTGAAGCTTATACTTCTATTAAAAGATATATCTGTATAGAAAGTATTAAACTCACAATAGTTCTGAAACAACAATATATTTTTGTCCAAGATGATTACCAAATGGAACACGAGAAGCCAACATATCAGTGAGTTGAATTTCTTATAAAGGTAAGAGAATGAATTCAAAACAACATTAAACTCAATATGCGAAGTACAGAAATCTATTACCAACTTTGCAAGGATAAACTTCTTAATCCAGAGATTCACATAATAGAACAATATTATTAAATATCTTTATATAGCAAAATAACTTATATAATGAATCAAGCAAACTAGTTTTTATTAGCAAAGTTGTATCTTGAAAGATTTGAACTTACAGAAAGAGAGTTTACAGTTCTTAATTATTTGAAGAATGACTTTGTGCAAGTCTTGAAGTTTCTGATACCATTAATTAAACATAACAGTATTAAGAATATAACTGAAATTATCATAAACTCTATGTTTAAGACAAATCAGGAGAGATTTAAACTTTTTGCAGTAAATGCAAATTGTGATAAATACGGTATGCCAATAGCATATCTGTATTTTATCACATCTAGTAGTACTGAGAAAGTTCAGCATGTTCCAAGAAATAATATAAAAACACGAGTTGAGATGCTATAAATATTCTTCACCAGTTTTCGACAGGAGAAGTTGCATCCAGTATTTGTTTTATCAGATAAAGATACAGAATAAATATCAGTAGTTAGTAAAGCTTAGTTATGAATGATCAATATTCAACTTTGTTATTGGCATCTTAAGCACGTAATTGATAAATGGCTCAAAGACAAAAAGTTTAAAACAAATACATACTTTGCAACTAAGATATTGGAAGCCCATTATAAATTTAACTTTATAGATTTATTGTGAATTCAAGATGATATTGGATTCTATCATTCAGATAATTTTAGTAAAGAACTTTTAGAAATGATTAAAAAATATTCAAACATGTATCCACTTATATCAGTGATCAAAAATTATTTTCTGATTTTGAAAGAGATTTATCATCTTTGTGTTCAAGAGGTGTATCAGTTTTGTCATTTGCATAATCTTCTAAGATTATGAAGTTACCTGTAGTCAAATTGGTACAATGAAAAGAACTGAAAGCTATTTGCTCAATCTTCATACTCACTAACCATGCCTTTCGCACATATTACTATGATCACAGAAAGTCACTGGCAAATTCTAAAGTATAATTATAAATATAATTATAACTATTCATGAATAGATTAATTTATACAAATTATAACAGAGCAACTTGTGTCTGACTATAAAATCAAACTGATTTAATATAATAAAAATCACATTTTTCCATCATGGTGATATGTGTTCAAAAGAGACTGATACAAGAATGTTGCAATAGATATTCAACTTGACATCAAAGAAAAATATTATGTTGATATTAATAACTGGATCTGTTCTTGTTCAGTATACTTACGCAGTTGCTAAATATCTTATCAACAAAAGAAATAGTAGACAATTTCTACTCACTTTTTTGAAGACAACATGATGATATAATTATTCTTTGCTCATTTTTGGGAGTGACAAAGCACCAGTTATTGCTTTGACAAATAATTCCTGGATCAGACTTAGCACGATAGTAGTCAAAAACAATTTTATTGAAGAAGGTAACTCCAGCTCGAGCAACTTATAAAATACATTAATAAAGATGAATCATGATGTGATGGAGGAAAAATTGCTCAATATAAAAAAATTTAATGTCGCATTGGCATTATATGAGCGGGAGATGGATAATGATGATTTTATTAGTAACTTTGATGTCTTGGTAATGCCATTTGTGAAGGAGATTGAAGGATGCAAAGAAGCATTACAAACTCACACTCAACAAGGTACTTGGAAATCAAAGAACAGAAAGAATAGAAAGCTTACCTTTTGGTTACATTAATTTTTTTATTTTATTGGAGGTGTTTTATCATTTTCTTGTAAGACATTCGATATTTCTTAATTCTCTTTAATTTAAATTTAAATATAAATATAAATACGACGACAACAAGGAGTAATTAAAGTTTTGATTATTATAAAAAGTTTAAAGTTTTTTGATTATAATGATTGCATAAGTATAAACACCGGGCAGGGATCCGAATAGTCAGAAGGATCGGAATCACATGACCCGTAACTTTTTTTTCGCCATGACTAGGGTATCCAACGAATTGAGAGCACAAATCAAGAAGTTATTATATATAATAATCAATCTGAGCAATCAGAATACTTTATTTTTATTTTTATAATATAATATTAGTAAAAAGCTATTATTTTCTTAAATTATTTTTTTTATATTATCTTTCCTCTTTAAGTTATAACACTTAATAAGTGCGTGGCTGAAATGTTTTCTCTTTACATCGTTTCGTCCTTAAAACTCCCATCACTTTTAAAACTTTTGTTTTCAAACATCTCAACCGCCAAAAAGACTATTCTGGTCTGGTTTCGAAGCGCTTTAACATCTGTTGCATTATTCTTGACAGGTATTCTAGCCACTTTATTAACTGCAAAAGTATATAAAGTATCTTTGAATGTGGATTCAAGTTTCGTGTTATAAACAAAATTTACTGACTTCTACATCTTGCTTTCTGCATCTAAAGGATTCAAAATTTTCGGCATCTCAGATAGCACACTTCGGCGCTGAAATAAAGGGGCAAAAATACACGTTTCTAGACTTCCCTCGGGACAAAGAGCCTATAATGTCGAATCAATGCTCAGAAACTACAGTGCTGATGATTCTACCACCACTTCCGCCTCCACCTAGGCGTCCCAACATGAATGCTTTGTTTACGCGAGAGTCTCCAGCCCGACACAGAAGAAGAACTTGAAAAGCAGAAACAGCACCTCATCTCCAATATCTGCTCCGGCATTAACTTCAAGAGACCCGGATTGCGTTCCTTATTGGAACGATCGAGTCGCAGATGGTCAAGGAGATTGTGGTTGTCCACAGAGACAAGCTCTGTAAGTTCGTTTTCAACCTCATCGAGTTCATCTTCCACCTTAATAGCACAAGGCTTGTGGTTCTCTCAAATGACAGTCCAATGTATGAATGGGAATTATCCCAGGATATCCTTATCATTAATACCGTCTTCATCTGCAGACTATAAGGAAAGCGATCTGTTAGGTAAATATTATTTATCTGCACTTCATTCACCTAAACCAAATCACTTATTTTTTTAGATACAGACGAGAACGGAAACAAGACAAAAAGCTAAAAATACAGGAAGAAAGTGCGAACAACGCGACGAGTTAAGAGAACAAAGAAAGCACACTCACCAGAAGTACGAATGTATCCCAATTCTTCTCAGAAGATCTTGCTTCGACAGTGGATGGATTGTGCTAGATTAGGTATACATGGTAGTAATCAATTACCGTCAGCATTATAGAACTACAAAACAGTTTATTTTCAGAGTGTTTCTTCGGCTGAAATTAGACACAAAGGAATGGGCGTTTATAGAAATGGTGCTATATGAAGTGCTTGATCATGTTATTTCAAGTGCTATACAGACCAGAGATGAAGTCATTGCAAGAAATCGAAAGAGAAAAATTCAAGATCCTTTCATTTTACCTCTAAAAAGAATGATCGTCAAACTATTAGTATTCGTTCCTAGTACTGCTGTGAACCACTTCGTTTTTACCTAAGACTATTACATAATAATGTTCTTGCTAGTAATCTGGACATCCACGTTACAAAGATTTAGAAAAGTCATTATTTTAGCATGAATTTTGAAGATACAATCATTGTTGGCCGAATGATACTGGAAAAGTTACAATGGACTCGAAATTAATATACGAAAGAAAATTAGGACATGGGACATTTGTATGGGTGTATGGAAAGTCTATCTGTGATAATCAAGCAGAAAAAATCCATGTTGCAGCCGTTGATCCTGGTGTCCGAACTTTTCTCACATGGTATTTACCCACAGTCGGCTATGGCAATTTTGGCGACAATGATATTGACCGTATTGTACGCCTCTATCTTTTTCTGGATTCACTGACTTCACGCACCACTAGAGCACCAGCAAAGAAGTGTAACTCTATAAAACGAGCACAAGCTCGCTTAAGAAATGCATACAAAATTTAGTGGATGAAGTACATAAAAAACTGCAATGTGGTTGGCTCGAACTTTTGATATAATAGTATTGCCAACATTTGATAGTACACGAATGTCGCGATGCCGACAAGGAAGAAGACTTAATATTAGGACAGTTCGGAAGATAATGGGTTGGGCGCATGCGAGGTTTAGGAAACGATTGGTATTTAAAATGGAAGAATTTGGTAAGATTGTTATAACGTCGGTGTCAGAACATATACAATCAAAACATGCAGTTATTGTGGATACATTAAGAGGAATTTAGGTGAGGTTCTGATTATTAGTACTTAAATGGCGCCCGGAGAATTTTTCTCTGGGCATTGTTTGATGGAGCCTTAGTTATGTAATATAATTATGCTAATTAGTTGAAGTACCTAGCCACGGAAAAAAATTTGCCTTTCACGTGATTCCGATCCCATGTCGACCATCCGATATCCCCCTTAAAATCATGCACAAATCAAATCGCAAGATCAATGTGTAACGCAAAAAATTTAAAATAGCTTGTACATGTAGAGTCCTTTATGTCAAGAAAAAACGGGGCAATACGGTATTTGAAGATCTGCACTCTCTGATCGTCAACCAATAGGAGTGCACAAATTTTTGATCAACCCGGCAAAACAAGAAAATGAAACACAGGAAGGTAATGCTCAAATCTAGCTTGATACACTAATAAAAAGTGTCGGCGAGGTAATTTTATATATAACCTTGTCCTCCACTCTAACCTTAACCCTAACCCAATCTTATAGCGTTAAAATATAGTATTTCCGGATCGGAGACCGTTTTTGCTTGACATAAGGCAGTGTTGTCACGGGACAGCTTTGGACATGCTGTTGGACAATCTTGGACATTTTTGACAAAAAAAAATCAAATTACTCAAAATTTTATTAAATTAACCTGTTTGGACATTCTAATTAAAAATGTTTAGAATCATATATTTTTTAATTAATTTTTTAATAGTACAAGAGTTTGGACATTGAACAGTCGAAAAAGTGCTTGGAGATCCAAAATGTACAACACTGACATAAGGGTATTTGTACATCGTACATGTATCTTGGAATTTTACTTATGAAACAATCATTTGTGTTCTAACAAAAAAAGGTTCTTTTTTCCAATATTATGTTCACGTTTATTATACAATAACCTTAATCTTGAACCTAATCCAACCCTAACCGAAACACTATTTAATAATATGCATGATTTTAAGGGGATATCGGATGGTCGACATCGGAATCGGAATCACGTGTAAGGCACTTTTTTGCCGTGGCTAGGGTATTAGATTCAATCCAAAAACTTCCATGTTTTGGAGACTTAAATATGCGAAGTGCTTAACGGTAATTGAGACAACGACAGGATATTTTAAATTTAACTGAAGAAAGTGTAAACCTTGTTAACTTTGCTTTTGAAATGCCAGTTGGCATTTTTGGTGTAAAACTCTTTTTACATTAATTAACGCTGTCATTATCAATGTTAGGTTCACCAATAGAAAGTACAGTAACAAGTTGTTATTGTATAAATATCTAGTATAAATTAATAGTATCATATTTAGATAAATATTTATTATTACAGTTAAAGCTCTGTTCGGGTCGAGTTTGATCCGGAAATCGTAAAATAGTTTTCGTTAATAACTTTTATTTTTACTCTGAATGTAATTGTGTATTTACAAATTCTCGTTCAATTTGAATTAATATGGAACGAGAAATAACGTTTTTTAGTCTGATCAGAAATATTTCGGGCGGGTTTGACACCAATCCGACCGACCCGAATTAACATAATTTTTTTGTGGCAAAGTAATAAATATACTTATAAGCAAGTATTATCATCGCTGCTGTTTGTGTATGCTGCTTTATGTTGATAATATGTTGATTTATAAACCAAAGTGCCTTGTCCAAATCAATCTTTTTGCTTGCAAGTAATACAAGCACACCAATAATTTCTCGCCATAATTAGTTGGTCTCTTAAAAAAGTAATAGATAAAAGCAAAAGCTAAAGACCAAGCAGGCTTAAAGAGAGCCAAGAAAAATAAAATAGATTGTAAACTTTAAAAAATCATCATATTAAAAAGGTGTAATAAATTTTATTGTTCAGTGATCACTATTTTTAGTGTGAAAAAATGTAGAGTCCAAACTAAAAAAATGACAAATGATGTAATAAATCAGTGTTCAACAATCATCTTTTTGAATAATTTGTGGTATGAGATTATCATCTTGTGTTATAAAGATCCAAATATTCAGGCTTGCATCTTTCTTTTGTTCCAACTAAACTCACCCTCTTTCACTATACAGCTAACTCACCACTCTTTTATTACAATCTCTGCTATGATCAAAAATAACGTATCTCTTTTAGCATAGATCTTGTTATACACAAAAGTAAAAAACCGCGTAATGAAAATAAGGACAAAGAATATAATAAGGAACACGTTAAAAGACATAAAAAATATTCTTTAAATGATGATCCAAAATTCTGGCTTGCAAAGTTTGATTTCAAAAATTTGAGTAAGTTTTACTATAAAACATTATACAATTTATTCAAAAACCTTGAAAGCAGTGAATCTTTTTTTGATAGTGAAGAGCTTTCTGAAATTAGTGCGAAGATATGAAATTTTTTTTTCAGAATACAGTAAATAATTAAATATGATGTTCAGTTGTTTCTCATTTTCTGTAAAAAAAATTTGTCACTAAGCCTTTTGGTAAGTCTAACCCAAGTTCTTGGCATATCGGGTATGCAAATAGCTTTTATTATTTCAAAATATTTAAATATTGTTTTAATATTTTACAGAACTAAATGATTAAATATCTGAAGAAAGCTGGATTGATTTTAAAAACACCCAGTATAGATTACTCGATCAAAAAATTCTTGTATTAAAAGGTGAAGATTTTATTAAAAATTTATGAGAAAATAACAAAATATTAACTTTTAACTTTATAATTCAATAAAAGATATGCTATAGATCTCAAATTTCCCAATCTGAAGATAATTTTGTGCTCGAAGTGACGATTTAACAAATAATCAATAATTAATATAAGTATACATATATTTTTTTGATAATAATTAACAAATATTTATTTATCACGATTGGTTGTGCAAAGAAAATAAAAAGCCTTCAAAAAGGTTCAAAAAAAATCTTGATAACTAATTTCTCAAATAAAAATGAAGTTATAGATAAATCTGATGAGGAGTCAACCTGAAAAATCAATGCTCTATTCAGCGATAACTCTGATGACATGATTAAAAAGCCTTCAAAGAAAAGCATAAAATGATGAAACATCAGATGAAAATTTCAGCCATAAAATGAAAAAGACCAAAGATAACTTACTTGCATCCAATAAGCAAGACAATGTTTTGACTTATAAATTGTCATTACCAAAGATGAAACTATCAATATAATTGCCTTCAATGAACAAAGTATGGTGCATAAAATCTAAAATCATCAAACGTTTGTATTTTATAGAATGTATTTACTTCTTTATTAAGAAGTAAATACAAAATTTAATCTGTGAATATGCTCGGAAAAAGCCTATTCTATTTACTTCTTAGTAAAGAAGTTTATACATTTTATAAAATACAAATTTTTGATGAATTTAGATTTTATGCACCATCAGCAAAGAAATCGAGATGGTGCAACCAAAAGTTCACTATTTTTCCAAACTCTTCTATTATCACCACCAATCCAATAGTCCTCAATGAACAAAGTAATAGTGATTTTACAGTTTCTCATAGACAATCATCATCTCCTATCACTACCCCTGTTGCAAAGAAATCCAAAAAGTCTACTATTTTCCCAAAGTCTTCTATTTTCACTGATGACATTCCCAACCTAGCTGTTCCCAATAAACAAAATAATAGTGATTCCACGACAGGTAAAGATATCAATATCCCTCTTTCTGCTATACAAAAGTTACAACGGTTAAGCAAAAAAGAGCAAAATGAGAAGACCAAGAGTGTAAATATTTCCTTTAACCCATTACCTAATCGCGATAATGAAGATAATGTTAATGAACAAACAGCTTCTATTATTAATCTTATTTTGCGATTTTGAACAGAATTTTTGGCAAAAACTTTCAATTTTGATGCTCTATCAAAAAGAGAATGGCAATTCGTGGAAATAATCAAAAGTGATGGAGATTCTGAGTTTGTTTATGCATTTTTTACAACAGAGGGATGAGCTAGACTCATTGAGTACCAGCGCAAATTGAAAGATACAATTAATGAACTTGAAGAATACTGAGCAATACTGAAAATTTTTGATTCTTTTTCAGATGTTGGATCACTTCACAGCTCTAATTCCAATGCTCAGGCAAAGACTAAAAAGAATAAGCGGCTAGTGACCAAAAATAAAAAACTAAAATTTGAAGCAATTTGTTCACATGATATATATATAGTATCTTCGCATATACCTTCTGTAAATTACTATTAAATGTCTGTAAAATTAGTATTTAATAAAGCATAGCATTTCTTTCCAAATATATCATATACAGACAACTCTCGCTATTATCAACCTCTTTAATATCAATACCTCTTTATTATCAACATTTATTGCAGAACAAATTTCACTTGGACTAATATATCGATATTAACTCTAACCTCAGAGTTATCAACCCACTTATATATCAACGAAATGCCTGGTCCCGTCATGTTGACAATAGAGAGGGTTGACTGTATTTCCTATTATAATCATACAATAGTTTTATAAAATGATTTACAAGAATATGAGACTTCTTGTAAATTTATACGTATATTTAAAAACCTTTGTTAATTCTAATAACATTCTTGTAGATAAATTAATAAAATTCTTGTAAATTTCCTAGTTGATTTTTTCATAGGGATTGTAGTTTAAAACAGTTTCAATACTAATTTTAATCACTCATAATTCGGGCCGTGACATATATTACGTAATATAATTTTACATGTACTATAGAACCCATCCCCTCCCCCGGTAAGATATTTGAAACATGTGACTTTATATACACACCCCTACAGTATATTACCGGAAATTTCAAAAATGAATTTGTCACTTTGTAACCCGATATCTCGACATCCAGTGATCCCATTCGAACACAAATATCACCATTAGATTCGTCTCGACTATACGAATCTAATGGTGATATTTGTGTTCGAATGGGATCACTGGATGTCGAGATATCGGGTTACAAAGTGACAAATTCATTTTTGAAATTTCCGGTAATATACTGTAGGGGTGTGTATTACATAAGACACTGTTAGACCCCCTCCCCAATGATTTACGTAATACATGTATCTGTCACAGCTCTTATTGTCTATTTTGATTGTAATTACGTACATAGTTAATAAATCAGTTTCATTTAGATTACAAAATTATGTATTGTGAGTAATACTTGAGTTAATACAATTTGTCTACTACGTACTGTATATTAAATTATGCACTTATTATTATTGTCCGCCGTTTGTTACTTGCTGTCTGTCATTTATTTGTTGTTCACTATTTGTTGCTAGCTGTTGTTAGCTGTTGTTATTGTCATTAACTAACTAATTAATTTCATTTAGCACGAAGACAAAATGCTGATAGACTCGCCGAAATGGGTTCAAGTGAGTAACAACAATAATAGTGACAATTGTATTATAGTAAGCAAATCTTATAAATATTGACGTTTTTACACATTAACAATATTGTTGATAAAAAAACTATTATCCTAAAAAAAAGAGAAGTTGCCAACAAAAAGAACGAGGAGAGTAAAAAATGATAAGAGTGGCGGTGCTTTCACTGCTACCGAATTAATTTTTTTATTTGATCTTTAATTTAATTTTTGACCCGTAAAGAAATCGTAAATAAAGACTTCTAATTAATCTAAACCTAATATTTGCGACAAAAACCAATAATTTTCGCTCGTATAAAACTCGTATTCAAAAAATCAAATTTTATGAGTCTAACAGATGTTCATTGTGTAATAAAGATATCGAAAATACATGTATAATGGACTACGTACAAATAAATAGGTGAAAATTGAAGAAATACGTAGTATTTGGTGTGACATAGGCATCGGATAGATAACGATAAGGTACATGTACTAACAAAACATTCTTGTAGTGAGCATTATTTTCTATTAATAACCTCAATAGTATAATTAGATGTAAGGCACATAAACAAACCACGAGAACTACAAAGACATAATTTAAATTCCTAAAACTTACTCAAACTTTGATTCTCTTTTTCCGATTCGTTTTTCTTTTCATTATTACTATTGATATCCTTTTTATAAAAAAAATCAAGCAGTGAATTGTTTATTATCATTAGAATCTAAGGATAAAAAAGTAAAGGATTAGTCAGAAAAAAATAATTATTTTATCACAGTGTATTTAATTTGTCGTCCCATCAAATATTAAATATCAATATGAATAATGTATTAAAACTTAGTATACAAACATTCAAAATGAGATACAAGTGCTTACCAAACAAATCATCATTGTAGCTAAATCTGAATAGACTTCTTGTTCAACCGAAGACATATTTATATCAACTGAAGATGCATCTGTTCCATCTTTATCAATATTTTCAACTACCCATTTTGAACCAAAACGCAGTATTTCTCTGATTTCTTCAAGAAGTTGATTAACGTTAGGTCTTTGAGATGGATTTTCATGCCAACATTTTTTCATCAAATCCTTCCAACACCTTGGCATTCCGTAGGAAAATTTAGGTCTTAAGCCATCAATAATAGCTAGAGCTAACTGAACAGAAGAATAATCATCACCAAATGGAGGTTTACCCCCAGAAGCAATGTCAGCCATAATAATTCCAATTGAGTAAATATCTGATGCTTGTGTATGTGGCAGACCTTGGAATAATTCAGGTGCCGTATAAGGCGGTGCACCATATAATTCTTTTGATAAACCAGTTTCTTCAACAGGTCGCAAATATGAAAGACCAGCTATCTCAATTTCATAATCTAGTTTCCCTTTAAGCACATTTCCAATGTGAAGGTTACAGTGAATATAGTTTTTGGTGTGTATAGACTGCAGATTTTCAACTATGCTTTCCAACAGCGCCACTCGCTGATACCAAGTTAAATTATGATGTTCATTTTGTAAATATTGTCGAAGGTTATCTTTTTTTGCATCACCGTTATTTTCGTTTGTTTTACCAAAAGGTTGCATATCTAGATGGAAATTCAAGTTCAGTTTGAGATAAATTAAGTTATAAATGATATCTATACTATATAAAAGCATACCAATGTTAGAAACATGTAATTTAGAATCAAGTTTGTCGTTGAGTTCGTCAATTAAATCTACTAAGGCAGGGTTGAAAACAAGATCAATTCGAATTGATTCCAATCTATGGCAAACCTCCTGGATTAAAGGCCGATCTTTTGGTTCGGGTTTCCAACAATGCCGATATAATTCCATATATTTAAAAGGGGTATCAGGTAATGGATCTTCACGTAGTCCATTAATAATTTGACCCATAAGGGCTTGCTGATTAAGGTCTTTAAAAGGGATACAGCAGCTTGATATTTCCCAGAACAAAACTCCTAAACCGTAAATATCTGATCTTTTATCTTTCTTATATCTGATGTCTGTAAACATTTTAGGCTCAATATAAGCTGTCGCGCCCAAAATTCTAAAAGTGCTAGATGTTTGGCTATTAATGTCCTTAGAAAGACCAAAATCCGCAATTTTTATTTGACCATCATGTAATAAAATATTTCTGGAATGCTTTTTTTATATATAAATAGAAATATGAGAAAATTATTAAATTGTTAATTGCTACTGAATAAACTTTATAAATATTACCAAATCTCGATGAATTATATCGCGCGAGTGAAGATAATGAATACCATCAGCCATTTGTTTTGCTAGTGATATTTTTGTAGCCCAGTCTAAAGTATCGCGTTTCTCTTTCAAAAATCCAGAAAGAGTTCCGTCATTTGCGCATTGTATTACTAGATAATAGGAGTTTCTGTCTTGAAACAGAAAATTAAATTAATGATATTCATCAAAGTAAATTTACTCTATAATAAATTATTTTCACATACTCTCGCTCTCACTAATCCCGTATAATTGAATAATATTTGCATGTTGATCCAAGTTACTATGTATCTTCAACTTTAAATACCAAAATAATTTTATAAATTAATATTAGATTTAAACAATTCAATACTGCATTATAATCACCTCTTTTATAAATGCAAATAAAATATCTTTTTCTTTTTCTTTAATATGGCATTTTTTGATCTTTTTGAGTACAATTTTTTCGGGGATTGAATTGCATTCAGCTAAGTACACTTTTCCGAACGATCCATCACTAAGAAGTTTTCCTTTAGAAATTTCTTCGTGTGGTATTTTACGAATTTTACCATCAGAAATTGCATCATCAAACCATTCTTCTAAAGACGTCATCTCAATAACGATAAATATATCGCAGGGATTTTACATCAACATTTGTTCATGCAAACTACAGTCGACTCTCGATATAACGACCATGCAGATCCTATTGTAAACAATATAAATTCAATAGAATCTGCATGTACTACATATATCTAAGTACATGTAGTGGATGCGCCGGAAAAATTTGGATTAATTTTTCGTCAGGTAATGCAAATCTTACTATTTTTGTTACGTATGCATTGTTAATCATATACAGGAGTTTTAAGTACATGTAAACATCAAAGGTTGAGTTAACTCCAAATTTTTGAATTTCACGTTTACGCGTTTTTTTAAAGTTTCGAATATTCACATATTGACACATATTGACACACATTTACACGTTTTAATATGTAATAGGTGTTTTTTGTCATTCTACAATATAACACGTTAAAATGCCACCTAATAAAAAAGTCACAGCTATATCTCGCGCACAAAATTATCCTGATGATTTTTATGCTGAAAATGGCATATTCATGTGTCGTTTTTGCTCCTGTTCAATCACCTATGACAATCTTTCTTATATTACTTCGCATTTAAACTACAAAAACATAAAAGTCAAAAAAACACATAAAAAATGGAAAATCTGAATGACAACAAGGCATTCAAACAATTATACGAGCAGCAGAGTCCAAAAAAGCTGTAATAAATGAGTTTCTTAAGGCGTGGGTTAATGCCAATATTCCTTTAGAAAAGTGGATAAATTTCATCCATTTTTAACAACCTATTGTCGTGAAAGTGGCGTTATTCCTGCTGCTGATACTTTGCGCCGCAAATATTTACCCTGACATATCTGAAGAATATTACATACTGAATTTAAAGAGAAACCTGTAGCCATTATTATTGATGAAACTACAGATTCTTGGGCCCGCAGTGTTGTAAATACTCTGTTTAGTTATTGCAATTCAACAAAACTTGTATCAGTCGATTACTTACAAACTGGTAATAATACCACTATTAGACAACTAGTGATTCAAATTTTTGCTGAACGGTCTATTTCTTTCTCAGTTCCACGACTCTTTATCTGACTCAGCTGTATATGAAGAAATGTCATAGAGAAGTTTTACATCTGATAATGCCATAACTTAGATATAATACTTGATTAGATAATTTACTTATTTATTTTAGTGAAGCATGAATTTCAATTATACAGTTGATATCATAAAAAAATTATTAATAAATATTAAAAAATATTTATTCATTCAAAAAAATCATTGCAACTTTTACATGCATTATTGATTCAGCATGGAATTCAAGAATTTTCTGCTCAAGAATCTCAAACTACCGACACAACATTGACTTTGTAATTTATATTTCTATTAAATGTAACTAGTTAGAATTCTTGATTTAATATAACCTTTTATATTTATGATTATTTGGATTATATATGTGGATTTTATAAAGAAAAGCAACAAGAAAAAATAGAAACAATTAATATTATTAATATTATTTTTAATGATTATTATAATAATGCTTATATTGATATTTATTCGACATCAGGTTCAATAATTTATTTCAGATTTAAATTTTTTCAATATGAATGTGATTCTGGTCCAATACTTGTCTTTTGAACTAACAAACTCAAAATCTTCGTCTATTACAAAACAAATAAAAATAACAAGAATAATTAGCATTTTTAAATTTATTGGATCAATAAAACTGTCAAATTTAGATATTATAGTACAAATAAATATTCATAAACCCACTGCTTTGTTAAATTAGCCATGTGTTTCAGAGCATTATCCTGTTGGAAAATGATATTATTCTTATCCAATTCGTAATGCTCGATAATTCCTAACAAGTCATCATTCAAAATTTTGCAGTATAATTCCTTATTCGTGGTGCCAAAAATGCGTATGACATTATCAACATTGAAGGAAGAAAAGCAACTCCAGATCATAATACTTCCACCACCAAACTTGATCATAGGTTTTACATGACGGTCATCTAGTGGTTCATTTTTGTGTTTCCAATAATATTCACGACCATCTGACTCATATATCATAAACTTAGACTCATCTGATCCTTGTATTTCTTAGCAAATTTTAAACGCAATTTTCGATGTATTATTTTTAAATATGGTTTTTTCATTTAATTCTAGCAGTAAACCATTTCTACGTAAAGTTCTTATATAGTACTATCACTTACATTAATTTTGTTATTAGTTTGTAATTTTTTTGAATTGATACAGCATTGGAACATTCAACAGCCTGTAAAAAATCGTGGGTGGTCAGATTTTGGTAAATCTTTTATAGAACTAGTAGTTTCTAGTTGGATAACAGAAGATTGCGCAATATTTTCTTTTGATGCGATATAACGGGAAGAAATCCTTTAAGAAGAGCAGAAATTTGTGATCTTTCTTCGATAGTAATACGACTCATATTGATTTAATGATATGTTTTTTTATTAAAATAAAATGAAAAATTATACTAATAGATATAACTTTTATATATTATTCGAGTTGTGTTTGTTATAAAATTTGGAAATTTAAATAGATTTACTTTTGAAAGAACAATCAAAAATTGCATTTTTGTACGTTTATTTATCCAAAAGTAGTGAAACTTCTAGTCCCTTTTTGTATATATTTATTTGCACATGTTAATACGTAACATGTAAAATCACGAAAAACTTGTATTACGTACCATTATTATTTTTTTATTTACGTGATGCCACTAAAAAATCATTTTTAGTGACATCATTTATTTTTCCTCTGTTAATGATAGAATTTATTTGTACGCAAAGCTAATTTATAATAAGTGCTTTCTTAAAGCAAAGCTATATCAACCTGCTGTTGTTGCAATTAACGTTAAACACTTCATAGAAGTTTTTGAGGTATTGAATATTATTAATTGATAGAAATGAACAACGCCAGTACGTATGTTTATTAATGTGTTTAACATTAACGTTAAATTAAAGTTTTACTAAAAAAAAGTCTCCTGATGCCTGATTTTCTCAGTATACATGTAGCAGTATCAGTTAGTGTTTCGGGCGAAGCTATTTTTCAAAATCCGAAACGTTTCGCCCAATGAACTTTCTGAGTCCGAAACCCTAATTTGGAAGCACTTTGTAGATCAAATTTGAGCGAAACTCGATACGTATACAGTACGTACATATGCACTTACTAAATGAACGCGCATTATCGCATGATCTTATGCAAGTACATTTTACGTATCGATATCAAACGTTCTTTGTACATGTACGCATGAATCAATATCGATACGTATACGAACTACATGTATTATCGTTATATATAATCTGTTGCTTTTAAGTTGCGATTTTGAGATGACGTCTAAAGAAGAATGGTTTGATAAAGCAACTTCTGATGATGGTAAAATTCGTAAAATACCATACGAAGACATTTCCAAGGGAGAACTTATTGGTGATGGATCTTTCGGGAAAGTGTATTTAGCTAAATGCAATTCAATCGCCGAAAACATCGTACTCAAAAAGATCAAAAAATGCCATATTAAAGGAAAAGATAGCTTCTACGGATTTATAAAAGAGGTGATTATTGTTACGAGTGCTCTAACAGTTAAATGCAAGTATTTACTGGTAACACTATATTGGTATTTAAAGTTAAAAATACATAGTAATTTGAATCATACGAGTATTATTCACTTATACGGAATCAGTGAGAGTATGTAAAATAATTCATTAGAGTGAATTAACTTTGATAATTATTATTAATTTAATTTTGTTTCAAAACTCTTATTTTCTGGTAATACAATACGCAAACAACGGGACATTGCGCGAATTTTTGAAAGAGAAGCACGATACTTTAAACTGGACCAAAAAAATATCACTAGCTAAGCAAATGGCTGATGGTATTCATTATCTTCACTCGCACGATATAATTCATCGAGATTTGGTAAAATTTATTATGTTTAGTAAATTTTATTCGGTAACGGTAACAATTAATTTTTATATTTTTATATTTTTATGCAAAATAGCATTCCAAAAATATTTTATTACGTGATGATCAAATAAAAATTGCAGATTTTGGTCTTTCTAAGGATGTTAATAGCAAACCCTCCAGTGCTTCGGAAAATTTGGGCGCGACACCGTATACTGAGCCTAAAACGTTTATAGACCTCAGATATAAGAAAGATAAAAGATCAGACATTTACAGTTTAGGAGTTTTATTCTGGGAAATATCGAGCTGCTGTATCCCTTTTGAAAGTCTTAATCGAATAGCCTTGAGCATGAAATTATTGAAGGACTACGTGAAGATCCACTTCCTGATACCCCTGTTAAATATATGGAATTATATCAGCATTGTTGGAAACTTGAGCCGGAAGATCGCCCTTCAATCCAGGAGATTTGCAGTAAATTGAACTCGATTGGTTATTGTCTGACGCAAAATGTTATTGGAACACAAAAAGATGAAGAAAAAGCATTTAAGCTGTTTTTTGAACCAGCAGAGGTTGAAGAACCCAAAAATTTGATCGTCGAATGGCCACCTTTTTTTGATTTCGAAAAATTATTCAGAAACACAAGAAAAGAAAGGGCGCCAACTGCATTCATGCTTTTCCGTATAAAATATTTGGAGGGTCTTCTGCGAGTTGGCGTCAATTGTCGGATGCGAATTGTAAGTCGCATGGCTTCCGCAGCTTGGAAACGACAACCAGAATTTATAAAATGTAAATATAAATCCTTATCCTTTGCAGCTAGACTTTTCATTGAGACAAATAGAATGCAAAACCAAATCAAAAATCCAACGTTAAAAAACTAGGCGGTCAGAGACGAAGACCTCAACAACAAATGGTGAACACAGTGTCAATCGGCCTTGATGTTTACCAAACTCCAGCATCAAATACACAAATATTCGTAAACGATCCAATGTCAATTAAATTCATTTATTTGCAAGTAGATTAATTAAATTTTAGATTGGTCTTGTAAATTGCAATTTGAACCAATTATTAGTTTTCTTATTCTGATTGATCAAAATCGATATACTATACTAATAAGATAGACTGTTTTGAAATTATTATAAGATACTGAGTTGGCAATATCGATATATTCTGCAGTTTGATTTCCAATTAGCTATATTTGCTTATGCAGAATTTGGCACCAAAACACATTACGTATCATGTATTTTATTGTTTAAGTAAACTTAGTATCAGAGGTATAATTCTTAAAGTTTCAAGAGAAAAATATTAGATATTTCAATTCTTACTTTCAGATAACGAATTAATAAAAAAGTTATATTTAACTTTCGATTGATTCTTCAATAGTCGCTTCCATATATATATTTATTAATAATTTAATTTTGCCATCATAAATAGCATATCTAAAGGTACATGTAACAATAATTGTTGACATTCACGTATATCGATTGGTATCGATATTGTATGATTTACTGATGTAACGTTTCGGATTAAATTGTCACAAGCATCTGTTGAATTTAAATGAAACCATTTAATGACATTTGTTCGTTTGCATATTTTCATCTATAAAGAAGCTACATCTAAATAAAATGAATGCCGGATGTATGTATAGTGGAAATATTCAATTAAAATATCAAAGTTTGCAAATTCTTTTGGATCTCATTATTGCAGCTGATGAATTACATCTCGGGGGCTTGATTGAATATAGTCAAAATCATCTTTTCAACTACCGTTTTGAAGAAATGATTGAAAATAATGTCTTGATTGATCAAACGATATTCGGCACATTTACTAAACTGACTATCGAGTGATTTTACTCGAATTAAAGCGACAACTCTATTCATTATTCTTCAACAAAATAATCTTACCTTAAAGAATTGAAACTTTGCAAAGGTACTGGAATGAGGAGAGAGTCGAGTTTCAAAGATCGATCTAATGATTTCAACGAAAAATTGGTCAAGCGATGGAATCAATCATCTCGAATCAACAATTGGAGCATGCGTGCCATTTATTCGATTCTCTCATATAAATTCCGAAGATTTTATAAGAAAACTCATGCCTTATTCTCAACTTTTGCCGGAAAATCTATACAACGATTTATTGTATTGCAACACAACTTGAAACAAAGAGGAAGTAAAAATGTTGCTAAACAACTTCAATTCTTTCCTATGGTCAGATACGCACAATTATGAACTGCTTGAATGTAAGCTTTTATTATAGGGATGATTTTACTCCCAAAGAATTTCGCCGAATAAAGGTCCGACAATAGTCATCATTCGTGTAAAAAATACTAAACAGATAATTGGTGGTTACAATTCTAACGAATGGAACTCGAGCAATAATAATTACTACCATCAAGCACTAAAAAGCTTTCTATTTTAAACAAAACGCTTCAATCTAATCATACAAACTTGAGGGAATGACGCTATTAGCTGCCAAAAAGAAAAAGGTCTTATTGTTGGAAATTGCGATTTGTGTTTGAGTTCTCCTGATTTTCGAAGTAAAATAAATTTTTGCAAGAAGGTTTCTCCGACGGAGAAGCTCATTATTTTGGCGTCACGGGTTATGAAGTATTTTAAGTACTAATCTAATTTCAATTTTTTGATAAATCTGAATAACATCTTTCACATACACAATTATAATAGAGGATTATGATAATTTAATTCAATAATATTCAATAAATAATATTCACTTCAAAAATACCATTCATCTTTATGATAAGAGATTTTTTAATAATGTAAAAATATTTTAGTTTAGCAACCCTTTTTTTTTACTTATGACATAAAGAAATAATAACACAGGCAGGTTAAGTTATTAATTTGGTTTATTTTTAAAACCTCGTTAGAATTTTGCGTATTTTGTTCTACATGATATGATCATTTTGCGTATTTTGTAATATATTTGGTCCATAATTGCGTCAAAAATATTGTGGCTGGTTTTTTGTGTTCTTAGAATTTTTGTTCTCTAATTTTATATTCATTAACAAAAAACTTACATTTATGAGGTCTCTTTAGAAATTTGCAAATTACATTCTTTGATGACTAAGTTGACACTGTTAAATTTACTACATAAGTAATTACTGAATTACATGAGCATCTTAGAATTAAAAATCGGAATTTATATCTACTACAGTACTGTACATGTACGTATTAATGATAAATTTTTATTGCATATACGTAATATCGATATTGTGTGTTTGCGGATTTTCCCTCAGCTAAAACAAACCACATAAAAACGATATTGCATATTGCAGCTATGATCTTTTCTTTATTTGTTAAGTTAAATCCAATATTATCGTTGCTATCGTTATCGTTATAAAAAGTTTTAAGTTTCGCTATGCCTTTAAAATATAAGCTATTGAATTTTATGCGGGGGAAATATTTTTATCAAAAGATTTTTGTAGTTAGAGCTAGCGCTAGACTTCTTTTTTTCCGTGTAAAATCCTGTTTTTAAAAGATGAACGCAGGAGTTACTAAAAATCTTTCATTCAGATTAAATTGGATTTGTCTGCATAGCAGAAAGTACGATCATTTGACGTAACTCCCGAGCATCATGATCCACTTGTGTTCTTCAAACACAGTACGTACATCTTTAGATTGTTAGCGTTAGTGTTTATGAGTGATTCCAACATGTTCATACTTGTGTTGAGTTTCTTTTCTGCAATGTAACTATAAACCAATACATGTGACAAAAATTCACTCATGATTACTGTATATCAAATCATCAAATTTTACATTCACTGCATTACATGTACATGTATCGTGTTTCTATTTAAAGATTTCACATTCTTAATTCAAAGCTGCGGTCACATCCAACAACGCACGGATTTTAAGCTTGAAATTTCCCCAATGGTACAAACAAGCAACTTTAAATGTTTCCATAATTGAAATGTATCTAATAAAGCAGAGAAAATTACTCTTATACAAGAAATTATTCATCTGTTATAATCATGATGATGCAGCGTTCAATTGACTACAGTAGATTAGCTTACCTAAGAATTAGTGGGAGAATTGTATCAATTGTGCCTGTTTCTAAAATATATATACCGAGCATAATACATGTACGTCTGACATAAGTTTTTGTGACACATTGTACGAATAAACTCATGGGATATAAAGCAGGGAAAAATCTACCAAAGCTTGATTCTTCGTTATTAAAATAAAACCGCTACGTTCAATTATAGAAAGATGGGAAACTCAAAATCTTTATTAAATAAAGAAAAAAAATCCGTGGAATCCAGATCAAAGAAAATCTTAAAATCCAAATCGTCTTCAAGACAAACCGATTCAAAAAATTTTTTTGAATTTGATGCCGATTTGAATTTCGCTATCTGCAGCGAGGCTGATCGGCTATTTACCTTGCACTTGTTTGTTCAACATGTTTTTGATGGTAGATTCTCTGCACCGATCGAGAGTAAACTACGGAACGGGGAAGCAAAGGTTTTAGATATTGGGTAATTAAACAAATTATGAGCAATTCGCAAATATCGATATAAAACAAAAAAAATATTTAATATAATCCTTATAATCTATATATAGATGTGGTCCAGGTGCATGGATTCTTGAAATGGCAACCGAATATCCATCATCTCAATTCTTCGGCATTGATATAGCAGATGCTTATCCGACAGAAAATTGTCCAAATAACGTTAAATTTGAAACAAGAAATGTCATTGAAAGATTGGCATTCCCTGATGATTATTTTGATTTTGTGCGCATTGCTTTAATGAGTTCAAGCTTGAATGAACAGGAATATTACGATGCAATATGTCAAGTATTAAGGTACTCCTTCTTTGTTCATGGAACGATTCTTTTGAGCGTATCTACATGTTGCTATTCTTTATTATGTAGGGTGTTAAAACCGGGTCAATATATAGAGATTATAGAATTTTTACTGCCAATACACAATTTAGGGCCAAAACACAAGACAATTGATGAAGCTTGTAAGTTTTTTGTGAATATTTTAGTATAACCAGCTACAATCTGAATTAATTATTTTCCCACAGTTCAAGCTCACTCAGCTGCATATGGTATAAACCTGAGAATGGCACGAAAACTCGAAAGCATGCTCGAGACTACAAAACAAACCAACGACATAGAATCAATGACGCGTACAGTACAAGTGGGTTTATCGGGGGGAAAAGCCGGAAAACTTCTCTACATGATTTTAGACACTTTTTCACTCGAACTTTCGAAAAATGGTATCGCTGCCAGCTTAGGCTTAAGTTTGGAACAATATAAAGATGTTTGGCAGGAGTGTCGACAAGAGATGATTGATTACGAGACTCGCGTATCTATCAAGAAAGTCTGGGGGCAGAAAGTTGTAACGTGATTTGATATTTACGGTTCTGATAGTAGTCATTGTACACTTCATTCATTAATTCGATAAGAACATGTAAGATTAAGATTTGTTTGTTCACTTTACAACATTGTAAATTTCATTCATTAATTAATTCCGATATCTAATTATAAGAACTTTAAATTATGAAGAAAAATTGCCAACGTAACATTACCATTTTCCCGATAATTCTGCGATTAATAACAATTTGCCATAAAATTCACGCATAAAAGAATTTATTCTAGAATTAATAATAAAGTACATGTAATACGTAGTTCCCATTTATTTTATTAACTCAATAGTAACGATAACGATAATAGTGATAGAGAATACCTTTTTAGGTATGTTGTGTACATGTTCGTATCAGTATTCTTTTGTCTTTCTTATATAGTAATTGCGATAGTGTTGGTATGACAAACCCTCATATTAGTGTTTATCGTTATGTAAGCAACAGTAATCACAATTGTTTAAGCAAGATACATATATTTCTCCATGATGATTGGTTCATCATAAAGATTGTCGTCCCGCCACATGTATGACAATAAAAAGCGAACGTTCTATATATCACTGATTCTTTGGTACGTATACCTGGACGTTTCTCCTATCGCTAACATTCAAGAAATAAAATTTTGTGTCACAAAAAACCGTATTTTTTTAAAATCGCACAAATTATACAGTCTCCGGCGAAAGTAATGGCGGCCAGTTTTAAAAAATATATATTTTAAGAGTGCCTCTGAGTAGGGCATTATGCCCCTAAAATATCAGCACTTGGGTGCTCTCTTTCCGTGTCAATGCAAGTTCGAATATAATTTAATGAATATAAAAAAAACCAATATTCTGATTACTACCAAACGGTTCGTCTTATTGAGGCGAATATAATAAGACCAAAATTACAAAATTCTGATCACTGGTTAACGAGAAAATAAGTTTGAAAATTTTGAAAACTTGCAATCGGCTCCTATTAGTTTTTCGCAAATTCATCATATTTTTATTTTTTTTTAAATTGCTAGTAACTTGCTAGGAATCTAGAACTATTATTTATATATTTGCTTCTATAAAGAATGTTAATATTGTAGTAAAATTTGTATAATAATCTCACGGTGACTACTCAATCAATAACGATAATACTTTTGTGTCCAAATTCGGTACAATTTATAATAAGTTTTGCAATAAACTCGCTCACATTCCTCCCAATAATTCTTGATATTCTTCCTCGTTCATACCCAAGAACTCCATTATCTCCAAGATGTCGATAGACTCGAAATATACCGATAGCATTTCTTTGAGTGAGAACCTCAATTTGCCGCATGATGTGTCGGTGAATCCGGAAAATTAAGTCGAATTTTTGTGCAATTCTTGGGTTTATGCCGCGCATTGAATATAGAGTTAGTACTGGATGTTAAAATTAAAGATTACGTAGTGTCTTTGGTATTAAAATTCATGAAAAGCGAGATCAGTAGTTGCATATTCTTACGTGCATTAGTTAAGACTTTTGACTTAATGATACCTGACGAAACTATTTTCTAGTACCCTAGCCACGGCAAAAAATGTTCGGATCACGTGAATCCGGGCTACCCGAACATCCGAACCAGTATTTGTGATCGGCAAATCAGGCAAAATAATCATTTTTAGATGGACGTGTTAAAAAGATAAACATTTTTCTTTATTATTATTGTTTTCAATACAAATTAATGCAACCAAAATTCAAGCCTTCCACTCTTTAACCCCCAAGTACCCTGCTGTCTACGAGCTTGTAGAGCTTCTTGACACTCATCTACTGTCTTAATTATTGGTTTTATCAAAACTTCAAAATTTTTCACAAAACCATCATTATTTATTTCTCGTTCATATGATATTAACATGTTTTCAAATTTTTCCCTATATATAATGAGTTGTTCATGTTGTCTCATTAGCTCGTCGTGTGTAGTGGATGTCAAAGCATTCTATTGAATGGCTGAACTAGAGCTTTCCTCATAAAAATCTATTTCAATTGTTGTTTTGTATCTAGCCCAAGGATTATTTATTAAAGCAATGGCCAGTAATTTATTCTTGTCAAAACAAGAAATGAATAATCATGGCAACATACTGTCTCAGAAAAGGTAGGTATAAATCGTTTGCCATCCTTTTTGGTAACTAGATGCTTACAAAGGAGATATCAACTATTTAGATATCCTGGACATGGAACATATCCAACTGTCTATATCAATATTATATCTATTCTCCATTCTGGGCTCAATATTTGCTAGTGCAGTCATATTCAAATCCTTTTTAAAATTCCGTCACCAGAATGGAAACTCGCGATTTCATTATATTGTGCTAGTTTATATTCAAAATCAGGGACAAGTTATTTCACTAATATTTGAGTTAGATAGTTATATTTATAATTATACTTGAGAATGTGCCAATAACTTTCTGTGATCATAATTGTGTGAGCTAAAGATATAGCTACTGAATAAGAAGACCAAGCAAACAAATTCCAGTCTTTTACATTATACCAGTTAATTCACAAATAATCTCACAACTTCGCAAGATTTCTTGAATGACAAAATTGATATATCTCTTAAACACAATGTTAATATATATCTTTTGAATTCAGGAAGGTATTTTTTGATAATGAAATAAGTGAATGTATATTTGCATATTTTTTAATTAGATTTAAGTTCTTTTATAGATTATTTGAACATAATATGCTAGTATTACTTATTAAAATTCAAAATGAATCAATAAAACTAAATATAAGATTTACTTTCAAAGCTTTAGCTATTGTATAAGTATTTGATCTCAAATTCTTTTTTTAAATTTTCGATCAATAGCATGAGATGTCAGTGGCAGAGTTGAATATTCGCAATCCATGATTTGTCTCACTCACAGCAGATATTTCTCCTATATTTTTGTTTACAAAAATAAAAACTGGCTTTAGTCTCTCTTGTCAAAAACTAAAAAAAACTTCTGCAATATTTCAACTTGAGTTTGTGTTTTTGTTTTTGGAATCGTATCAGTCTTTTTCAGTGACATTATAAGTACAAAAAATAAATATGCAAGAGGCATACTGTTACTATAGTAATATAAATTTTTGTAATTCTATAATCTTTCTTTGATTATACAAAATTTTTTTTTCTTAATTTTTACCATTTATCACCTGATTATTATTATTTTTATCCAATTGTTAATTATCTTACTTTTATTTTATTACCCTAAATCTTATATTTATATCCTAAATATCATATTTATTCTCTTTTTTTCTTATTTTTATATACTTTTTTCACCCTAAATCTGAGATTTACAATTTTGATCACAAATGTTCTACATTAATATCAATGTTTCATATATATAACTATATTTAGTAATACTATATAGATTAATTAATTAATACATTTATAGATTTCTTCTTTTATATTTCAATTTTTCTTTTTATATTTATATTACACAAAAATCTTGATTTCAAAATCTTGATTTCAAAATCTTAATCTGAAAACCTTAATCTAAGATTACAAAATATGTATATTAAATAATATTAATTAGTAATACTACAGTAATTTTTGTATTTGAAACATGTATAAAAGAACCTGCTTTCTCAAATTGAAATAAACAGTTTTAGTTAACTTGATGATTAGTCACAAATTGAATTGTTTGGAAAATATAATTAAAAAGCTTATTATCATAATAATAGTAATCTTTTCTAATTATACTAGTACTCTTTCTCTCACTTAGTTTTATTCCTTTGATCATATAAAGTTGATTTTGAATTTTTATTATAATGTTATATTGATTTTGATTTGATATTTTTGACTTAGATATTTTAATTTATACTTTTTGATTTTTATATTTTGATTTTTATATCTTTACGAGATTCATTTATTTAAATTGATATTTTTGATTTATACTTTTTAGTATTAGTATTTTATATTTTAATTTAGTTTTTCTTTGATTAATAGTAACTTCTCTTATTAATCGTTATAAATCTTTTGATTTATTTTATTTTTTTCTTTATATTTTTACCCCTTTTTTTAAATTACTTTCATAATTTAGATCTTTGAACACACAATATCCATAGATATTGGTACAGGTCTTAGAAATCTTTGCTAATATTTATAATTCATTCTCTTTACTTAAGTTTAATCATCCCTCTTCCAACATCATATGCTTATAATAATTTTCAATGAAATCCACTATTCAGAATTGCTGTAACATATTTTGGTACTCCCTCTGTGAATATTAAAATTAGTCTCCCAAATTCTCTGTGAATATTAAAATTAGTTCCCCAAATCCTCTGTGAATATTAAATTTCACACCTTCTTATATATTATTATTACTTTCTTTATAATTCTTTATATTTATTCAAATATTTAAAAATAATTGTATTTTGAGTTTTCATGATCAATTATTATTCATTTGTTGGATTATTTGTTGATTACCATTTAGATATATATAGAAATTTTGATTTTAATAATTGAATTCCCCTACAATACTTTTGTTCTTTTTGTCATCTCCTTCAAGAAATCTTTTCACTTCAATTTTTTATCTTTCATATTATAATTGAAAATATTGGAGCAGTTTCTTTAAATCAAATCACATATTTGTTATTCAACAAATTAACTCAAATCGACTTTGGAGAAGTACATCCTACTTGACTTAGACAAAGAATAGTTTAATTATTAAATACTTTATTATTTGATTGAGTAACTACTCAAGAACAACTTGAATTAATAGAACATTTTTACCAACGATTTATCATACAAGACTTTTCATTATAAACCAATTCAAGAACATCTAGTTATAATAGTAAAATTGATGAATATTATTCTGAAACCAGAAATTCAGAAGACACACAATCTCCAGAACAAACCATATTAGATTCAGAATCTGAAAATAACTCAAAACCAGAAGAAAATACTAAAATAATCAAAGAAGAAAATAATACCAAATGGCTAATGTTGATGTTCTAGTTGTAGCTCTTGGAGTCTTAACTGATAGAATGGCTGAACAAATTAATC